GTGTAAACTGGGTCCTTTGTTAATACAATCTCTTCCAGCATGCATCTTCCATAATCTTCCTTTTGTATCAATGTGCTGTGCAGCAAACAGCAGCCTTTCACTGTGAACATCTGTTAATTTGCTCTTGGTTTTAACAGTTTTTTCTCATTTTTCTATTGTATTCACAGTTAAAATTTTAAGATAGGCGCTAGAGCAATGGCTCAAAGGACTGGAGGGAGCCACACGTTCACTGGTTTAAACCTTAAGTCCGTCTTACCTTTATGCCTTTAAGGTAACATCGCTATAGCATTTTAAATGCTTATGTACTGAAGTTTCTTCATTGTGGTCTCTGGAGCTTATCTTGCTTGGGAATGTCTTCGTCAGATTTATTCATTTTTCTGCCTTTTTGGGGGGAGGGTTCTGAGCATAATTTTCTCTATTTGACACGCTTCTTTCAAAATAAATGTATACAGAGAATGATCTCTGGGTTCTAGTTTGTTTCATTAATCTGCCCATACTTTCCTAATACCAACCTGTTCTAAATTATCTGGCTTTGAGGTTGGAGTGAAAATACAGAAGATAAAGTGCTTGCGCTCATGTGGCCCACCCAGGTTCAATACCCCACATTCCTAAGCACCAATGGGTGTGACCTAAAAAACAAAACAAATTCATCGGCTTTGTAATTCTGATACATACTTGTACAAATAATATTGCTTTAAAATTTTGAAAACATCTACATTAATCTGCACATTTATTCTCCTGGATAAGGTTTTAAACCCTATCACCAATTTCTTTGAAGAATTAGATTTTTTTACTTTAGGGATCAGATAGTAAAATGTGTAATGCACCTACCTTGCACATGCCTGATAGGTTTATTTCCTGGCACCCCATATGGTCCCCCAAGCCTGCCAGGACTGATCCCTGAGTGCAGAGCCAGGAGCAGAGTCAAACCTTCCCAAGCAAGGTAAGCCCCAAAGACCACGATGAAGAAACTTCAGTACATAAGCATTTAAAAATGCTACAAAGCATGTTACCAAAAAGGTAAGACAGACTTAAGGTTTGGACCAATGAACCTGTGGCTTCCTCTAATCCTTTGAGCCTTTGCTCTAGCTCCTATCTTAAGGCCCTAAACCAGAGTCAGGCATGGCCTAAAACCCCAACTCTTAGCCCCCTACCCCCAATTTATTTTTACTTGAAATCTAACAGATTTATAGCCTGAGAGGAATCCTATCTTTAAAATATTAAGTCTATTCATGTTAAGTAACTAGCATCTTCCCATTTACCCGGATCTTCTGTAATAATGTTTTATGGTTCTTTTAAGTTTGATAATTTCTTGCCAGATTTATTCCTAGAATATTTCACTGTTGTTCTAATGTGAATGATACTTCTTTATATTTAAAAATTTAGGGCTGGAGTAACAGCACAACAGGCAGGGTATTTGTCTCGTATGCAGCTGACTCAGGTTTGATCCCTAGCGTCATAGATTCCCCTGAGTAATGACAGGAGTGATCCCTGAATGCAGAGTCAGGAGAGAGCTCTGAGCACCTCCAGGTACAAAACATTTTAAATTTAATTAAGTTTATAGGCAATCCAGGTTCTGTATTTTGCAGATAGCTTGTCATCTTAATGAACTCTTTGAGTTCTCTTAGATTTCCCAAACTCATTTAATTTCCCAATTCCATTTCGTAATTGGGCTTGAGCGGGTAGGACGTTCGCCTTGCACACGGCCGACTCGGGTTTGATTCCTCCATCCCTATCGGAGAGCCTGGCAAACTACCAAGAGGATCCCACCCGCCCTGCCGACACGGCAGAGCCTGGCAAGCTCCCTGTGGCGTATTTGATATGCCAGAAACAGTAACAAGTCTCACAATGGAGACATTACTGATGCCCACTTGTGCAAATCGATGAACAACGGAGGACAGTGCTACTGTGCTATTCCTTAATTATCTCCTAATAATTTTTATACTGGTCCCAAATTCTCTGAACAATGGTGAATTGTAGGTCTGAAACCTGGGTCAAGACATTAAATTTGTTATTTCAGTTAAGACCTTCACTTAGTTAAAACTTCACTAACAAACTATTTTCTTCTTTTTGAGTCAGTAATATTTATTTTTAAGGGCTTTTTCACTGTTAAGATCACAGTGTTTTCTCCTTTTTACTGTGCTTCTCAAGCACAGTCAGGAATGACCCTGAGCACACTGGGTGTGGCCCCGAAACCAATCAGAGCCTCCCCTGCCCCCCATGAATTTTTCTGAAAAATTGTCTAAGTCAAATTTCGAGATTTTTTATACCTAAATAATTGACTTCTGATCTTTTTTAGGGGGTGGGCACATCTGGTGGTGCTCAGGAACCTGAGTTAGCTGTCCAGTGCATGCCAATGGCCTTAACCTGCTGTACTATCTCTCCAGCCTAAATGAAGCTTCTTCAAAGTCCCTCATATTTGTATGTTCACTGTGTTTCTGATCGTTTTCTCTTCACATTTGCAAAGTGTGTAATTGGGGGACGGAGGAGGTGTGCTCAGGGCTTACTCCAGGTTTTACACTCAGGAATCACTCTTACCAGAGCTGGGGGAACCAGGGATTCAATTTAGGTCAACTGTGTGAAAAGCAAGTGCTTTACCTGCTGTTCTATCTTTCTGGCCTCAAAGGGTGTATTCTTTTGAAAAACCAGCTAGTAGTATGATTACCTATATTTCCTATTTTCCGAATTTATTTTTCATTCCTTTTATTTTGGGAATTTTAACTTTCCTATTTCTTTTGGTTTCCCTTTGGATCCATCTTACCACGTGTATATCCTTTAAGGATCTGTCATATGCCGTTCCATTCTTTCAGTACTTTTATCCGCTCCATTCAACGTAGCAAAAATAGAACCTTTACCATTATTATGAAAGTGGCTATCAGTATTGGACTAATTTTGGAGAAGGCCAGTGAATTCCAATTCACTTCCTAGTTATGTAATCTTGGCCAAATCTTTGCTGTTTCTTCATCTGTGAAAACAGAAATAACAACAGGTTAAGTTGAAACGACTTGCAATCACTTCGAGAAATAGCCTTGCATGAACTCAACACGTGTCTGTTAAAGACAGAGCTTTTGGTTGTCCCATTTCTAAAAAAACGACAGGCTGGGAATGCTGGACAACCAAATCCCTCCCAACTGTGGAATGACTTTTTAGGTTATCAATTCATTCACCAGGCAACTAACTGATCAACCACACAACAGTAGCTAAGTCCTTCCTGGTTCTGAACTAAGCATTATAAATAAAGGTGAGGTACAACAAGACGAGTAACGAAACAGCAGCGGAGTCCTGGAAGACGAAACTCCTAAACAGGTAACCATATTACAAAGTGACATGTAGTTAGCAAAAGCTGTGGAAATTCAGACTCTGAGATGTGGGTAGAGAATGAAAAATCAAAAACTTGGTTGGAATCTCATTCAGGCATTTAGACAGTCACGCACCTGGCAGGCTCCTTTTATCATCTGTAAAAATAATTCCTTAGCCAGGTTAGATTAGAGATTATTAAGAAAACAGAAATCTACGGTGCCAGATTCATTGTAACAACACAGCAAATGACAGCAAGGTAAGAGATTATGAGAGTTAGAGACAATCTGCTATATATGAGAGTCAGGGACTTCTTCCCGCAGGGTTCAAACAAAAAAGACCGGGGGGTGGGGGATGATACCTTCAATTTCCCACTGCAATGATCTGCTCATACATTTACAGAAAGAGACTCAAAAATCAAAAAAAAAAAGGAAAAAAGGCAAACTGGCGTTTCCTGGACTCGCTCATCCTTGCTGGAGGAAGATAACTCGTAGCAAGCAGTTATGTGTTAAAGAAAAAAAAAAAAAGACCGGAATCCGCCTACCCTAACGGATGGCGAATTTGGTCTTCTCGACTGCTGGCAGAAAACCCGGACCCCTCTCCTCGGCACAGACGCCGAACGGAGAAGCCCCGCTAGGCAACGGGGCTGGGGAAAACGATCTGGGCCACCCTGGGGAAAGGGAACGTCCCGGAGCGCGACGAGCCTGGTCCTGGCGGCGGCTCGGCCCCTCCGGGCAGCGGCTCTCGCCCTTACCTGCGGCTCGGCCTCAGCATCCCGGCCAGGGGGACGTGCCCGCCGCTCCGGGGCCCCGCGGCCGACCCCGACCGGGCCCGTCGGGATCACGTGCCTCCCGCTCCCCAACGGCCTCGCCCTAGGGAGCACGCACCCAAGCGACAACACCAGCATCCGCCGAGAGCGTCGCTGCCGCCAACCCGGCGCCGCCCGGGCCTCCTCCGTCCCCGGGACACAAAGAGGCGCCTCCCGCGAGGCGGCCCGGCACGTTGCGGCAGCTCCGCCGAGGACGCAGGGCCCGGCCGGCCCCGCCACCGCCGCCGCCACCGCCGCCGCCGCAGGCTGCAGTTCCGGGGCTCCGGCTGCGCCCAGGGCCTCGGCGGGGGCCCCTGCGGCCAGGCCCGCCTGGACCCGCGGCGCGGGGGCCCCGGCGGGGGCTCCCGCCGCCCAAGGCCGGCCCGACCGCCGCGGGACCCGGCCGCCGCCACCACCGAAACCTTGAGGAAGGTGAAGCGCGGCCGGAAGTGACGCGCGCCGCCGGGGCCGGAAGTCGGCGCCGCGCGCCGGAAGTGGGCTCGTTTCCCCGGCGACGGCTCGGCGCTGCGCCCCGGCGCCCGCTCCCGCTCGGACCCGAGCGGCCAGCCCGAGCGGGGACTCTGGAAAGCGACTCGCAGCGCGTCCCGCCCGGCGGCGGCGGCGGCGGCCGCGGCCCCGGTGACTCGCCGGGGCCAGACCCCGAGGACGGCGAGCGGCGCCCGAGCCCCCGCGTGTGGCCCCCCGGCCCGGGCCGCGCCGCCGCCGCCGCCGCCGCCGAGAGCCGAGACGCGGCCGTGGGCGGGGGCGAGGACGGCGAGGAGGGGGTCGTCGGGGGCGGCGCCCGGGGGGGCGCGAGGGAAGGCCCGGGCCACGCGCCCAGTGACCCGCCGGGGCCCGAGCCGGACGACGGCGCCGGGGAACGCCGGGCGGCGACGAGGGCGGCCGCCATGGCCGGGGGCGCCCCAGCCCCGGAGCCGGCCACCCGGAGTGAGTGTCCCAGGGCGCCCGCCCCGCCCCCCCCGCCCCCTCCTCGAGGGTCCCGTCCCGGTGTCATTGCCCCTCTGGCTTGTTTTTCTGCTCTGTCTCTGTCTCTCTGTCTCTGTCTCTCTCCCCGCACCCCCCCTCGTGTGTGTGTGGGGGGGTGGGGTGGGGGTGGGGGTCTGCTAAGTTCCACCGTACTCGTTCCCAATTTTTTTTTTTTTTGAATCGAGTCCCGGGTCATGATGTTGCAGACTGACACACTTTTGTGATCACCTTTCAGTTACACGGTGATCCAGCACCCATCTCTCCACCAGTGCTCATTCCCCACCACCGGTGTCCCCAGTTATGCGGTGATCCAGCTCCCATCTCTCCACCAGTGCTCATTCCCCACCACCGGTGTCCCCAGTGTGACTGCCAAGCTACTGGAAAACTAGGGACCTGGGGGGGAGGAGGCCCAGTCCCGATCCAAGCGGGCTTGGAGATCTCAGTCATGGGTTCCTGCTTACCTCCATGCCAGCCTTAACTGCCACCAGTGGCCCTAATTGCGTCTTTTGACCTCTTTCAAGATTTATGGGTCTCAGATATAAGGACAATAGATGAGCTTATATAGCTGGTTATAGGTGGTTTGTGGGTTTAACTCCCACCTACCTAACTTTTGGCCGTTTAATTTCTTGGTAAACTTGGCCCCAAGTCGTTGGGATCTGGCCAAAGGCACAGCAGCAATTTTGGGGTATCGGGAAGTCTGAAGACACCGTCAGGCTGCTGATGCACTTGTCCCGCAGGTACAGGTTGACCTACTGGTGGCACTGTCCCCCCAGTGTTTCATCTATTTCTTTGAAAAATGTCATGGGTATCTTGATAGGGACTCATTGAATCTGTAAAATGCTTTGGGAGTATTACCATTTTGACAATGTTAATCTTCCTGATCCACGAGGAGGGGATGTGTCTCCATTTCCTAGTGTCCTCTTTTATTTCTTGTAGTCTTGGCTGTTGACTATAAGACTAACCTAGAGACTACACTACAAGACTATCTCTTGTAGTGTTTTGTAGTTTTCTTTGTATTGGTCCCTCACCTCTTGATTTTGTGAGGCACTATTGTGAATTTTTTTGTTTTTAATATCTCTTCTCTTTCATTATTTTTTATATAGGAAAGTCATGAACTTTTGGGTATTGATTTTGTAACCTGCCATTTTACTATACAAACCTATTGTTTTTAGAAGCTTCTTGGTAGAGGCTTTAGGTATAGTATCATGTCTTCTGCAAATAGTGAGAGCTTGATTTTTTTTTTTTTTTGCCTAACTGCTATGGCAAGTACTTCCAGTACTATATTGAATAGGAGTGGTGAGAGTGAGCAACTTTGTCTTGTTCCTGATCTTAGAGGGAAGGCTTTAATTTTTTTCTGTTGAGAATAATGCTTGCTGTGGGCTTGTGGTAGATGGCTTTGACTGTATTGAGGAAAGTTCCTTTGACTCCCTTTTGCTGAGAGTTTTTATCATAAATGGGTGCTGGATCTTATCAAATGCCTTCTCTGCATCTATTGATATGATTACATGATTTTTATCTTTCTTTTTATTGATATGGTTATTATGTTGATTGACTTGCTAATGTTAAACCATCGTTATGTCCCTGGGATGAATCCTACTTGATCATGATGTGTGAGGTTCAAAAAAATAGTGTGGTGGTGTGTGGGGCGGACTCCAGTGTTCCGTGGCTGAGAGTTGCCTCCCTAGGCTGGTCCGCAGTGTCTTTATCCGGACAATGGACGGATAAAAGACCAGGGTAATAGAAAACAGGCCCCCAAGCTTGTGGGTAGTGAGTTTATTTTTCTCTCCTCCCAGCATAGTCAAATCTCTCCGCTTACAGCAAAATCATAGTCATAGTTTGATTGTAGTTCCAGTCGTCATAGTTTCATCATCCTAGTCTCCTCGTAGACCTCAAAGTTCTCTACTAGTCTAGTCTGTCTAGTCTAGTCCCCTCTTTCTCCTTACAGCATAGTTATATAGAAATCATGAAGGGTGGGGGTGCACATGGGTGGGATTGAACATTGTCATAACAACAAACATCGGTAAAGCCAATCCTGGGGGAGGGGGGAAAGATTCTAGGAGATTAGCTCAAGGACAAAATCTCATCTGAGCATTCAGCACTCCAGATTACTAGGAGATCTGCTCAAGGGTGGGATTCCATCTAGGGTGTATTTCTTTATTCTTTCCTCAGGGCTGGAGAGATAGCGCAGTGGGTAGGGTGTTTTCCTTGCATGCAGCCGACCCGGGTTCGATTCCTCCATCCCTCTCAGAGAACTTCAAGCTACTGAGAGTATCCGCAGGCAAGTAAGAGACGATACTGGTGCCTGCTTGAGCAAATCAATGAACAACGGGAGGACAGTGCTATAGTGCTATAGTGCTACCTCCTCAGCTAGTAATCTATTTAAACAATCAAAGTAAATTTACTTCTTATAATATTTCCTGACCCCAGCAGGGTCCTTATTCAGTTACTTCTTTTTGGGTCATGACAAAGTTTGTCCATGACATTGCTCTTAACTTATAGTTAAATATTATGGCACTTGGACTGGCCCATTTCTATACCAAGATATCTCACAGCTCACCCTGGATCCATCCAGTCCCTTTGTCAGGACCCTGTTTTGGAGTGCTAGGAACTAAGGGAAGCTGAGGTTTAAGTCAAGTAAATATGGATGCCCATGAGTAAAGATTATTTTGGAGTCAGCAGTTATGTTATACAGCATAGCATCAACTGTCTTCCTGTGTCTATACAAAAAGGACATAGCTAAACCATACAAATGACGTAAAGAAAAGAGAAAAGCAGTATTGGATTATTAGTGCTTGATGAACTGGTGTGCCTCAGGGGCACTGTTGTGGGAGTAATCAATAAACCTAAGCTCCCTGTTGGAGGAGGAAGGACAACCCAGTGTTATCCAACAGATAGAAAATCTTTTTGATGAGTGAGTCTTTGGATTCTATTTGCTAGTATTTTGTTGAGGATCTTTGCATCTGTATTCATCAGGGGTATTGGCCTGTAATTCTCTTTTATTGTGGTGTCTATGTCTACTTTTGGTATTGATGGTATTTGTCTCATAGAAACTGGAACAGGATTGGGAGTAGGTTCTCTTAGAAGGTTTGGAAGAATTCACTAGGGAACCATCTGGGCCAGGGCTTTTGTTTTTCGGGAGACTTTTGATTACTATTTCAATTTCCTTGATATTGATAGGTCTATTCAGGTATTTCAAGTCTTCTTGGGTCAGCTTTGGGAGTTACAGTAGTCCAGGAATTCATCCATTTCTTTGATGTTGTCTTGTTTTGTGGCATAAAGCTTCTTTCTCAAAGTAATCTCTGATTATCCTTTGAATTTCTGTTGTGAAGTCCCCCTTTTCATTTCTGATTCTGTTTAATAGGGGTCTCTCTCTTTCCTTGTGAGTCTTGCAAGAGGTTTATCGAACTTGTTTATTTTCTCAAAGAACCAGCTCTTGGTTTCATTGATCTTTCAGATTGTTTTTTAGGTTTTCATATCATTAATTTCTTCTCTAAGTTTTATTATTTCTTTCCTCCTGCCTGGTTTGGGCTCCTTTTGTTGATTATTTTCCAAGATTTTAAACTGTGAGGTTAAGTTACTGGAGGCTCACTCTTCCTTCCTGAGAAATGCTTGTAGAGCTATAAACTCCTTTTAACACTGCTTTTGCCATGGTAACTTGTGTCTTCATTCTGGTTCGTTTCCAGGTATCTTTTGATTTCCACTTTGATTTTTCTCTCTATGCTACTCATTTTTCAGTAGTGAATTGTTTAATTTCTAGGTGTTCAATTTGAATTTCTGTTTCTGTGTGTGATTCACTTCTATTTTCAGTGCATCATGGTCTGAAAAGATCGTTGATAGAATCTCTATCCTCATAATTTTATGGAGTTATGTTTTGTCGCCCAGTGTCTTGGAGAATGTTCCATGTGCACTTGAGAATAATGTGTATTCAGCTTTTTGGGGATGAAATGTCATTTATATACTAAGCCCATATTTTCCATTTCTTCCCTCGAATAAAGTATGTCCTTGCTGAGCTTGTCTGGTTGATCTATTGAGATGTGATAAAGCGGTGTTGAAATCGCCAACTATTATTTTGTTGCTGTCAATGTCTTTCTTTAAGTCTATGAGCCGTTATTTTAAGTATTTTGCTGGTTCCTCATTAGATGCATATACATTTAGGAGCTTGAGATCCTTTGATCATTAAGAAATGATTCTTTGATCATTTGATTATTAAGAAATGACATTCACTGTCTCTTGTGACCGTCTTCAGTCTCAAGTCTCTGTGATCTGATATTTGTTATTGTCACTCCAGCTTTGTTGAGAGAGTTGTTTGCTTGTAGAATTGTTTTCCATCCTTCCATGTTAAGTCTTGTGTTTATGACTGTTTAGATGTTTTTCTTGCAGGCAGCAGAATATTGGGTTCGGTTTTCAAATCCATCCTGTCACTCTGTGTTTTTTAATTGGCTCAGTTAGTTCATTGACTTTTTTTTTAATCTTCTTAACAAGACAAGCTACATTTATAAGTAAATATTGCCATAAAGATACATGATTATAGGAGATTACAGAAATTACAAGTAGAAGATGATCTGCATGGAAAAATTTACAGAGATTAGTTAGTAGATGAGAATTTCTATACACAAGTTCATTGACATTATGTGAGAGATTATGTGTCTTCAATATTTTGGAAGAATTTAAGGAGTATAGACAGTAAATCTTTTTTGAAGATTGGATAGAACTCACTAGTGAACCCATTTGACCAGGATTTTTGTTCTTGGGGAGATTCTGAATTGTCACTATTCCTGGCAGTCAGCGGGTGCATCCATGGTGACCTGAGGATCTCCTTGGCCCCTTGGTGCATTCAGGTCAAATTACCATACCCCCAGTTGGCTGGCAATGACAGGTCAGCCAGGAAACAGGGCCACCAGACTGGTTGGTAATCAGTGACCATTTATTCAAGTCTCACACCATTATATAGGAACCATGAA